ACTACAGTTGAAACACGAACAAAAGAAAGCAGAATTTAGAATAACTTAACCATTGGAAAACTTACCTGACCCAATAAAGCAACTTAACTGATTAACTGTTCCAAAATAGCAACATTCCCTTAACACACCCCTTGGCAAAAAGGTAAATGCAAACACAGATTCTTTCAGGCAGGAGGGAACAACATCCAGAGAGATTTCAGAGAAAGTCAATTAGGAGTCCTTTACTGAAGCTTGCAACCCTTCTGGTACTCAAAACATCTTGTGACTGTTACAGCTAAAATAAAACTAGAAAACCCTGAAATGGGAGAACTGGCACTCCAGTTTTAGCTTTCTAACTTCCTAGACTCTTCAGCACCTCTGCCTTTACAACCTCTCTTCAAAAAAACCCAGAACAAAATAATCTTTTTATAGTGACAGCATCGTCACAAGTGAAGAAAAACCATACATGTGTTTTGTGTGTGAACGGGGCATCAGAGACACAAATGCAGTCACAACAGGGAGAAAGTGTGGAAATGTGAGGACTGTGGGAAGGGATCATTGGTGCAGTCACATTGGGGAGAGACCATTTATTTGACCAGAGTGTAAGCAGGGATTGACTGAGTCATCCCACTTGCTAAATCACCAGTGAGTTCACACTGGCCATTCAACAGCTGCCACTGTGGGAAGGGGTTAAGCCATTTACCCAACCTGCTGACACACCAGTGAGTACACACTGGGGAAAAGCTGCTCACCTGCACACTGTGTGGGAAGAGATTTGCCCATTAGTGTAACCGCTGATACACCAACAAGTTCACCAGTAAATACAACGATTGAGTTTTGCTGTTCATCCCATCTAGATCTGAACCACATTCAAGAGGCATTGTTTCTGCTGATGTTAATAAACTCAGTTATCGGTATGAATACTTTGCAGGGCAAATAAATTACCTTAGTCTTACACACAGTGTTTTGAGTCTGTTAAAGGTCTGTAACACGGGATTGTTCCTGTTCAAGCAGTCTCCCTTTCTTCATGATCTCCATTCTCACCTCCAAAATCTCATAGAGCTTCTTTGTCAGGAGAATTGAGATAATCTGATCAGCTATCCCCGTTGCTTCCCTCTCTTTCAATCTCCTAATGAGCCATGCACCCTCTGATGGTCCGCAGTTTCTCTGTGAACTCCCTTTGGGTAGATTTCCTTTCATCACTGGTGGTTGTACAGTTAGTTGAAGCCTCTTTCCCACACACACTCCCCAAGTGAGAGTGGCGATGGAAGTGAGGATGGGGGTGTGTGGATATTGTCTCAGGTTGAGTCATGCAAGCAGGGGCAAAGGAAGCTGTGTCTGAGTTACACTGAAACAGACTCACTCAGCGAGTGATCATTGAATCTCTTCAGTATGGAATCCCTACATAGAGTCTGCACCGACCCTCCAAAGAGCATCCCACTCAGACCCAACCCTATCCTATTCCATATGCAGGGTGAATCCAGAGGTAATTCACCTAGCCTGTACATCCCTAGACATGACAGGTAACGTAGCTTGGCCAATCAATCTAACTTGCATGTCTTTGCAATGTGGGAGATAACTGGAGCACCCAGCGGAAACCCATGTAGATACAGGGAAAACATGCAAACTGCACGTAGACAGTTGCCCAACGCTGCAATTGAACCTGTGTCCCCAGCGCTGTTAGACAGCAGTGCTAACCACTGTGCCACCATGTCATCCCCGGCTCTTACAGAACTATGCTGTGTCTATCTGAATTACATTTTATACAAGTCGGTGATTGTTGGGTTCTCTTTGAACTATGACACAAGCTGTGTTGAATCATAGGAGTAGGCCACTCAGTCCCTTAAGCTTACTCCTCCATTCTAGATCATGGCTGATCATCTCCCTCCAATTCCATATTCTCCTGTTATCCCCATTATTATTATTATTAATCTGTCAGTCTCTCTCTTGAATTTAATGACTGAGCTCTGTAGACCTCTGGGGAAGAGAATGTAAAAGGTTCACCACCCTCTGAGCATTCTTCTCATTGAAACCTAAATGGCTTACCTTTTATTCCGAGACTCTGTCCCTAGTTGTGGACCCCATGGCCTGGGGCAGTATCCTTTCTGCAACTACTCTCTTTATCACTTTCAGAATGTGTAAGTTTCTACAACTTCATCTCACATTCTTCTCAACTCAAGACAATTAAAACTCCAATCTCTTCAATCCCTCCTAATCAAGAGTTCCACCATTGCAGGAATCGGGCTGGTGAAGCTCCATTGCATTTCCTCTACGGCAAATATATTTTTCCCAAGGTAAGGGACCAGAACTGCACACAATACACCCGGTGTGGTCTCACCAGTGTTTGGTACAATTGAAGCAAAGCTGCTGTAGTTCTCGAATCCTTTTGCAATAAAGGAGAACGTCCTAATTGGTTGCTGGACCTGGCATACTAGCTTTTAGTGAGTTATGAATGAGGACATTTTTGTTCATCTTTCCAGTCTCTCACCATTTAAGAAATACCGTGCATTTTTTCCAACCAAGTGGATAACCTCTCACTTCCCCACACTATATTCCATCTGCCATGCTCTTGCCCACTCTCTAATCCAGTTTAAACCCCTTGAAGCCTCTTTTTAGATTCCTTGCATTGCACATTCCCACTGTCTCCTGTAAATTTCCCAACTTTCAGTCCCATTGATTTCTCCAATTCTACTTTTTACTAATACTAGAACAGTCCATCTTAATTATTTCTGGGAGACCTCTTGTGTCTTCCTCTTTGAAGACAGACACAATTCAGATTTTTTGCCATTTCTTTATTTCTGATTACACATTCTCCTGTCTCTGCCTGGAATACACCCACAATTGTTTTTGACAATCTTTTCATTTTTGCTTACATACAGAAGTTTTGACAATCCATTCAACAGCTTTTTCCAGGTCAATTGAGGAGGGATCTGTATTCAACTCAATCAGGACAGGAAACTGCAGGAAAGTATCAAATGGAGACTGGGGGATGTCTGTCTCACAAGAGTACAGCTCAGAGTAATATTTAACCCAGTGGGGCATCTGCTTACTTACGTCATACTTCACGACCCGTCAATTTCAGGCAGGGTGTAATGTTGGTGATCGTTGTACCACATTCTCCTTGAATTGCAATGCACACAGCGCGTAGATTTCAATCAGCAAAGGTGGTATGGATTTCTTTGCTCAGATTGACCGGGTGTTTATTTGCACTGTATTTTCCTGCAATATACATGACTGTTTTGGCTTCTTTATGTAAAACTGTGTTCTAGCTGTTGGGTTTATGTTCTGCCTCCGGGAGCTTTAGTATTTGCTTTAATGACAGATACCGCCTCTGCTAGTTAGGTCTGAATTCAGTCTTTATTGTAAGTTCTACGTGTACCAAATATTGATAAATGTGTAACGTGCAAATCAGTAAGAATTGTCAGCAACAATTAGTCAGCACTTTCCCATTGGAGATGTTATCAGTGGAACATCTTGGAGATTGAATTGTAAATCTTGCACCAAGGATCAACTGAAGCAAAAGTTCAGAATAGTGGTGTAATTGAGTTCAGGGAAATGACTGTAAGCAGAAAAGATCTGGATGGTCTTTTGAAAATGAGACATTGCAACACAGAAAAACAGCAAGACATCCAGAATATTAAGCTCCATCCAGTTATAGATGTTAACAAACGAAACATAGTCAGGCTATCAATCCTGGGTGTGATTAACGGCAGCAGTAACAGCGGAATCCAAACCCTGCATTTACATGTGAACTTGCTGATGTGTCAGCTGGTGGGATGACTGAGTGTACCCTTTCCCACACAACGGAACAGGGGAACAGCTTCTCTCCAGTGTGAGAGAGTTTATGTAAATGCAGGCCGCCGGACTGAGTGATTCCCTTCCCACACTCAGGGCAGGTAAATGGTTTCTCTCCAGTGTGAGTGCATTGGTGCGAATTGAGGGTGGATGAACCTCTTTTGACAGTGAGTGCAGCTGAATGGCTTCTCCTCACTGTGAATTTTCTGGTGTGACCAAAGGCTGGATGAGTTAGTCAATTCCTTCCCATTCACAGAACAGTTGAATGACCTCTCCTCAGTGTGAACTCTCTGATGTGATAGCCAGTTGGATGATGGAGTAAATGCCTTCCCACACGCAGAGCAGGTAAAAGGCCTGCTGGTGTGACTGGAGGCCTAATAACTGAGTGAATCCCTTCCCATACTCTGAACAGATGAATGGCTTCTCCCTGAGTGACTGTGTTGGTGGTTTTCCAGCTGGTATGGATAATAGAATGCTTTCCCACAGCCCTCATGTTTTTGTAGTTTCTCCATGGTATAATCCCCAAAGTGGCTGCATTGATGGTGTTCCAGCTGGATGGATAATTGAATCCTTTTTCATAGTCCTCATATGTTCATGGTTTCTCCATGGTATCCTTGTGTTTCTCCTGTTTGGACGATCATTTGAAGTCGGGACCACACACACAGCATGAATGTGGTTTCTCCCCACTTGGAATGGGGTGATTTCTTTACAGGCTGCATCCAGGAGACTGGAACACTCCATTCAGGCAGGTGTGTGTTGTTCTTGGTCTGTTTCCAGTCACACAGATGTTTGAAATCTTTTTCCGCAGACACAGCTTCTCCTACTGTCAAAGGCCAAAGATGTTCAGGTCATGCTGAATCAAGTGAATTTTTCAGACCTTGATGTGAAGTTTGGTTTGAGTTTGCTTTCTGTGAATTCTCCTCTTATACCCTGGAGAAGGAGCCCAAAACAAATTCAGGATGAACAATTCTATTTACTGTACAACGATTTTTCCTCTCTTGTTCTGCCAAAGCTGTAAATCCCTGACCCACACCTTCTCCCTGGGTTGAAATTCAGACTCAGTTCCAGCATTGCTTTTCTCCACACCCAGTTTTTACCCTCCCTGTACTATAGCTGGCTTCAGTTTTCCAGCTCTTAGAGGGGAGGGGGAAGGAGACACTGGAGGGAGCCAGTCCTTGAGAAAGAGTGATCTTGTATTCGAGAAATTAAAAAGACTAATTGCTTAATATGTTTAAACACAAAGTGAATTTATTTCACGTTCATCCAGAATATCATCATCTGTGACTGGGCTGGACTCAATTAACCCCAACACAAACAGAACACAATGACCATGGGTCAGTGCCAGATTAACTGAAAAATCCAATTACTGTAGTTACTTATGAATTTGTTGATGTCGAAGCGAAGTGGATGTCTGACTGAATTCCCTGTCCTCTCACAGGGCGGCGGAATGGGCTCTCGTCAATATGGGTCTGTTGGTGTTCTGAGAGTTTCTGACCACCTGAACCCATTCCTAAAGTGGGAGCACCTGAGTGGTCTCTCATCAGGGTGAACATGTTAATGAGACATCAGAACTTCTACAGCACTTTCCACAGTGTGAGCTCACCGGTGTCTCGCAGGTGAGATGACTGAGTGAATCCTTTTCCACACTGGGAGCAGGCAAATGGCCTCTCCTTGGTGTGAGTGTACTGATGAATTTCTGGTTTGGATGGATAATTGAATTCTTTCCCACAGTCCCCACATTTCCATGCATTCTCCCTATTGTGACTGCACCTGTCTGTATACAGGCCAGATGGTCGCCTGAATCCTCACCCACACACAGAGCACGTGTATAGTTTATCTCCACTGTGACAGTGCTATAGCCTTCCATGTTCACAATTCAAGTTGGTGTTCAGGTTCTGAGAAATTGGGTTACTCTGTCAGATCCTGATGGGATTTGTGGTTTAAGTTCCTGACTTAATTATTCCTGACTAATACCTTATGTGATTGATCTACAAAAAAAAGGGAGTGAGTGAGAAGCCAGAAAATCAAAAAGACAGGTTGTGAAATTGACCTGGATTAACTTGATGATTGGTGAGGTCAAAACTAGGAGGAAAGTCCCTGGTCTTGTATGTGTGTTTTTATTTAATTGCATCAGTTTGACGTGGAGGTGGAGGTGGAGGAGAATCTGCTGGTTTTAATCGTGAATCCAACTGAACAATTTTCAATATGAGACTTAGAGGAGGCAAGATCCAAGAGACATTGAGTTGTTAAATAGGCATTATCCATCTGGTCTAAAAGATGTTGTTTTAGATGGAGATGAAGTGGGTACAGTTACCCGGTCAAGGTTGTCCACGCCCAGATGATAAACTCCTGGGGTTCCGTTTGTGCTGACCCCAGGAAATGCCTTTTACAGGGGGTTACAATAAAAGATTTACTCAAACTCAAACCAAGAGAAACATTTGTCTCTCCTGGATTGAGAAGGATAAGCTGTGGAGCAGCTGTTTATTGAAGACCGAAGGTCAGTGAGCTGGAAATTGCACTCTCTCTGTCTCTCTCTGGAGATACTGTTTGAGCTGCCTAGGATTTGCTGCACTTTCACTTGCAGATTTCCTGCTACTGCACATTCTTGTCTGTTGTAGGGATTGCTGTTCAGCACCCAGTCTTGAACCACAGGCGGATCAGTTAAATAGCTGTTCCTTACTCCAGGGGCAGTACCAAGATCCGCGGGTTACAGCTATCAAACAATATCATGGGGATCTGCAGCAGCAAGCTCAGCAACCAGAAACCAGCCAACTTGGGCACCTGTGGGCACAGACAGAGAGATGGTGACAGGGCACAGGGAGGGGGAAGTGGAATGGGGGGCAGGGGGGAGAAAACAGGAGAAGGTCAGACGCTGCAATCACGCCATGGCCAGTACTGACCGCCTGCTGCAAGCTCCCGATACTAAACACCCACCATCCCCATCCGGTCCCCCATACTCCCTCATCTTCTCTCCCTACCCCTTCATTCATGCCATCCCTTCGTCCCCATCCCCTTGCTCTGTCTCCTGGCCCACACCCCTACCCCATCCCCATCCCCTCATCGGCCAACCCCATCCCCATCCTCATCCCCTCCCCAGTCCTTGTGGGAACCAGTCAACATTCTGTCCTCACCCACTCCCTGTGGGAGCAAGTTGCACATTCTCTCCTTCTCTCCTTCTCTTTGTGCTTTGGTCTTTCTCCCCGTCTCCCTCTCTATCTCGCTTTCTCTCTGTCTCTGTCTCTGTCTCCTTGCCTCTGTCTCCTTGTATTTCTCTCTTTCCTTCTCTCTCTCCAAGTCTGTTTCTCTTCCTCTCTGTCTTTTCCACTTCCCTCTTCGTCCTCTTTCCTCTCTGCACCTCCTGATATTCACAACCCTCAGATCCCACTCCCCCAATTCTGCCTCTCTCAAATTTTGCTCTCTCAAATTTTTGAATGCCCCTTAAAATTTGTAGCTCCCCAAATTTGCATCCTCATATTTTGCTAGCCCCGACAAATGTGCACCATGCAAACATTTGCACGGGCCCCAGTTATGCCTGTGTCTTTGTGGGGTACATGGAACGTCTCTTGTTCCAGTCATTTTCTGGGCCCCACCCACAACACTTTCTCCGATATATCAATGATATCATCGATGCTGCCTCCCTCCCTTGTCCAGAGTTGGAAAGATTTATTGATTTCGCTTCCACTTTTCACTCCACTCTCACCTTCAACTGGTTCATCCCTGACTCCTCCTTTCCTTTCCTTGACATCTCTGTTTCCATTTCTGGTGGTAGCAGGCCACCAATATCCACTATAAACCCACTGACTCCCATTACTACCTGGACTATACATTCTCACACTCTGCTTCATGTAAAAACTCCATTCCATTCTTCCAGTTCCTTCATCTCTGTCTCATCTGTTCTGATGATGCCAGCTTCGACAAGGGAGCCTCCGAAATATCCACCTTCTTCCTCAACCGAGAATCCTTAGGCACCATTGTTGACAGGGCCCTCAGCCGGCTCCGATCCCTCTCTGCACTTCAGCCCTCACCACCTCTCCTCCCTCAACAGCAACAGCAGTAGGGCACCCCTTGTCCTTACCTAGCATCTCATCAGCATCCACATCCAGAGGATCATTAACTGCCATTTCCGCCACCTCCAGCGAGATGCCACCACCAGACGCATATTCCCCTCTCTTCCCTTATCAGCCTTCCGCAAGGACCTTCCCCTCCAGAATACCTTGGTCCACTCCTCCTTCACTCAGAACACCTGTGCATCCTTGTTTCCCCCCACCGCCCTCAGCCCCAGGGCACCTTCCCCTCCAACTGCAGGGGGTGTAACCTCTGCCTGTTTACTTCCTCTCTCCTCAATATCCAAGGCCCCAAACACACCTTCCACGTGAAGCAGTGCTTTACCTACACTTCAAACAATCTAGTCTACTGCATTCGCTGCTCACAATGTGGTCTCCTCTACATTGGAGAAACAAAGCATAGACTCAGCGACTGCTTTGTACAACACCTACATTCTGCCAGCAAAAAAGACCCTGATCTTCCAGTTGCCTGCCCCTTCAACACACGACCCTGTTCCCCAGCCAACATCTCTATCTCAAGCTTGCTGCTGTGCACCTGTGAACCTTAGCGCAGGCTGGACGATTAGCACCTCATTTTCCACTTGGGGACCCTGCAGCCTTCTGGACTCAGTATCAAGTTCAATAATTTTAGGGATTGAGCTCTTTCATGTCCTTACCACAACCCCCACACACCAGGCCTTGTTATCATGTAGTCTGCCATCACACACTACCTATCATTAGCCACTAACAGTCTCCATTAATAGCTATTCACTCTCTCAACCAGATTGTTATCCACTCCTTTGTCTGTCCAACTGCTCTCTCTCTTTGGGTTCTGTCTCCACATATCAGTTACTCCTTCCTCCCACCCTATCTTCTCCTTAAAAATCAACATTTTCCTAGTACCATCAGTTCTGAGGAAGGGTCACTGGACACGAAACGTTAACTCCGATTTCCCTTCATGGGTGCTGCCACACCTGCTGAACTTTTCCAGCAACTTCTGTTTTTGTTTCTGATGGCCAACAGTGGTTCATTGATTCAAATTGCCTTTATCCTTTCAAACACAGCCTCGCGTTCTGCTAACCAGACCACTTTTACTTGTTTCCTTCACAAATGTGTTAAAGGCACAGCTCTCCTGCTAAAATTATGTATACGTTTCCAGTAAACTCACACATTTCTAAAAATCTACTAATTTCTCATTTAGTTTTAGGAACAAGGTATTTCAGTCTTTACTTTTGCTGGTCTTGGCAGTATCTGTACGTATGTCTGTACGTGTGTGCCTATGTGTGTTTATATATGTGTGTCCCTGTGTGTATGTGCATGGGTGTCTGTGTGTACATATGTGTCTTAGTCGGTGTGTATTTGCCTTTCTGTGTATATCTGTGTGTGTTTCTGTCTGTGCCTGTGTATGTGTCTGAGCATCTCTGGATATGTGTGTGTCTGTCTGTGTGTGTATGTATGCATCTGTGTGTGTGTGTGTGTGTGTGTGTGTGTGTGTCTTTGTGCGTCACTTGGTATATGTGTGTGTATTCATGTATATTAGTGTGTGTATTACAGTGCGTTTCTTTGCTTGTGTGTCTATACCTCTCTGTGTGTTTGTGTCCGTTGTGTGTTAATATAACCGTATATATCTGTTTGTGTCTTTCTCTGTGTCAATGTCTCTGTGTAATGGAGTTTCTGTTGTTTTGAGGGTGTAGGGGTGACCTGTATCCTGCTATGTAAGGTGACTTGTACGTGAACACACTAAGTGGCCAATGCCTGTTTACAAAAACTAAGCAGCCTGCTCACATTGTAAAATACAACGGTACCTTTGAACAGAGCTGCTAGAAGGTCAGTAAAAGAACACTATGTTCCCATCTGAGACAGTTCTGATAAAAGGATGCCTTAGGACAGATAAATGACCAATTCCAGCTTTATTAGTGAAAGGATGATTGTCCCAGTAAATGAATAATGTCAGGTATTAGATTAGGTCCTTAAGCAGCTGCAAGGATAACAGCCAAAATTATTTCATAGTAAATAATTACCTCTTTGAGGTAATATTAAATAGTTTCTAGCTAAAAGTGCTCTAATCACAGAAGTTCGTTTCAATACATAACTGGGATATAATACAAGCCTTAACGAAAAATTAAGCTTAGATGTAAAGATTAACTAGCCTGAGGAGATACCTTCTCTTATGCCCTGAACAAGATAGATTGATCACAACCCATAAATTACAAAATGCTGATAGTAGAAATAGTTGTATAATGTTGCACTTATAATTAACTTTATAACAGAAGTTAATCTTATAGCAATTAAAATTAACTGACATTTTACTTTTACATTATGTAATTTGGACAGTGGGAAAATAAAAGGAGGAACTGAATGTGATAAAAGACAGCATCGAAATACAATGGGTAATAGAATTTGAGCTGTCCTTTCTAGATAAACAAGCCTGCGAAAGGCCAAAGGAGTACAGCCATTAAACTTCTGAATTGCGAATGAATAGGATGCATAGGAAGATCCCTCGGCCGAGAGATTACAATGCCTAGCTAATACCATAAGATCATGGGAACCTGGGCCTGTCCATGGAAGTGCCCACCACTGATTAGGTGTCCCACAGGATTGGCTGTTTGAATTAAGGGAAGGACAGTGACTACATTGTATTTGATTACTGTAGCACAATGTATAAAATGCTGTATTCCTTTGTAAAAACAGAGGGTGTGTCACTGATCTATCTTCCGAAGCCAGATTTGGGGAGATTCCTTGGCCTTCTCCTTGCATAAATCAGTTTCTGCTTGAATAAACATCTTCCACTTGCCTGAATCCCCCCTGATTAAGAAGTCAATGTGGCATTTTTTTAAATTCCTACTTTAGAAATAAAGCCAGTCTGACTCCAAGCCAAAACACAGACAGATTCTAAACAAGGCCTCACACCTAACATGCATTGTCTGATCTAAAATGTCACTTCTTCTTTACACTGATAAAACCTTTTAGTTCTCTCAGGACAGTGACTTGAAAGGAATTTGGGGATTTACATATACATATTAATCAATAAAAACCTTCTAACTGATTAAAGATTTTAACAGAATCTTAGGTTTGTTTAATGCATCCTCATCAGTGGTGTGACCCTTTGATCTTTTACTTATAAATTCCGTGTCTGATATGACGTCTCTCACTGATACCTGAAGAAGGAGTGAGGCTTAGGTAGCTTGTGTTTTCAAATAAACCTGTTGGACTATAACCTGCTGTTGTGTGATTTCTGACCTTGTCCACCCAGTCCAACACTGGCACCTCCACATTATCATGTCAGGCACACTGCTTAAAGACAAATCATTGTCTTTGTCACATTGCAGAGGGAGCACACCATTTGTGTACTGAGTGTGTTCTGCACTGAGGGGCCACAGTACAATTGCAGCTGTCTCAACACCAGCCATGTGTGTGTGTGTGTGTGTGTGTGTGTGTGTGTGTGTCTGTTTGTCTGTGTTGATGGGGCTGTGAGCTTCTATTCTCCCTCTTTCCCTCTCTGACTGAATCCTTGAGTGTTTTCACTCCCAACCACCATGGAGAGTGGCATTGTGTCACCTTAATCACAAGGGTGATTTGTTGGACTATTTTCACCCAATGGCAGAAAATTTCTGTTTGGGACTACATTGGAGTAACAGCCCTTTAAATTTCTCGGTCTAGAACCAATATAACCCTCCTGATCGCTTCACTGAGGAGTTTTATTTATTCATAATGCAAAGAATTCATGAAACCAGGTAT